TAGGCAGCTGTCATCAATTCAAGGTTATTTGATATTTGGCCCACACATATAGTGTTTCTATATTCTCAGCGGATTCGTCTTCAAGCGCGAACCCCTAACATAGACGAAAAGGACCGCCATCTTGGCTGGAACCGTTCGTTCGTTCGTTCGTTCGTTCGAATACTGTTTGTTTCCTTAGTGGGGCGGTTCACTGGGCGGAACGAATTGCATTCGTAGGAGCATTGACGACAGCCACCGATGATCATGTGCTGAAGCATTACTAATAGTTCGTAGGCCAAAGAGCGCACTCGAAAGGTCCAAGAAACCGGTTCGGTGCGAAACCACCCGGAAAGCTTGAAGAAAGATAAGCATTTGAGAAAATTGCAACACAACAGCGGATGATTTCGGCTCGGCGTCCTGAAGAAGAACCGACACCTTCGAAAAAAGTGTATACGGCAAATCCTGCATTTATATCTCCACTGGCACACAAAACACAATTAGTCAGCAGTTATTATTTCCAACGGATCACAGACGCTTTAAAGGAAGCTCGGTTTGTTAAATGGCTGACCTCGAAGAATGGAATCCTCGCGTGGCCGGGGCCTGATCTAAATTACTTTGTTTTTGAAACTATTCGTATTGTTTACATAAGCAAACGCGGTCAATTCGGAAATACATGAAGTACACTCGAATCTATCATTCCAGTTACGCCCATAAAGTTTTTACCATCAAACAAGGGTGATTTTTTTTACCGGCATTTTTTCACGAAACGATCATTCACACGTAAAACAAAAGAAGACGTCTAAACTGAGACTAACATCCAGCTCGCCCTCTTTGCTCTCGAACTAAGTCCACCGAACAAGGGTTTGGAAAATGTATTTTTCTCGCATGATTAGTATGCATTGATCAATGACGAAGTGCAATGATTCACCGACCCAGTGCCTAGCTATTTTAGTCGCCATATTATGAATTTACGACACCGTTTGCGCGACGTAATATGGTGTAGAGATACGTTAGAGGCGTCGTAAATGAGGTAACGCGTATTTTCTGTCAGCTAATTTGGACACAGAAAGGGTCCCGTAATGACCCCTCATAAATGTGTACTATATTCGTACTTTTGCTAAAAGCCAAAGACCATTCAAGACCAGTGGCCAGGTCCTACGTATTTGCCAGTCTTTGTGGTTTTATTATCATACACATATAACCAAATTTAGACGTAGTACACTAGAAACCATCAATTCGATACGATTACTTATATGTTGTTTCGGTTTTTAGCTGTCTTTTTTTTATTCAGACACAAAGAAACATCCGCTTCTTTGTTGGACAGGAAGTTGTTCAAAGAAGGAGTAAACGAAGAGAGGCAGGGAGGCAAGATAGGGGGGCGAGATGGCAAAAAGAGCGGATGGTGTTTACTTGTAAGCTCTATCCTTCGTATTCTTCAGCTAGCGATAATTTGTCGCCTCAACAAATCAGAAGTACTGAAACACTGATAATAAATGAAGTGTACATAGCAAATTGCTTTAAGCTTGAAAAGTGTACAATGTGCCTACATTAAATTTTTAAGCAACATAATATATATGTATAAAATGCTCAGTCGTAGCTAAACTTTACTGCCGTCCGTGCGCTACAACTCAGCAAGAGTTTTTCTAATTGGTTGTTACCATAAAGCTAAATGTTCTGAGTTTTTAGTGTCCGGTAACGCAAGAGCGGCTTGCACTTTAAACAAACATTCGTGGTCGAGACGAATTTGCTGCTGTCGTTCGCTTTCTGCTTTGCGTGATCGCTACAGCAACGTGTATTGGATCACTAACAAATGCGTCGCTGCGGCCCAAGCACAAGCAAATTGACATACATTTCTAAGTATTCGGCACATAGTATTTTCTCATCTAGTTTTAAACTAGCCGCTAATATGTGAAAGTATTACATTTTTTTTTTTTTTTTTTTTTTTTTTTTTTAGGAAAATTCAATGACTTCTCGTCACTTTGTACCGGCATTACAATTATTGTATACTACATATATATGTTTTGGATATTTAATAGCAAAAAATTCATACTATTTGGATATAGCATCTATGTTGGTAATACATGTATATTGTATATGCTAGTGATCTTTTGTCTATTCTGATTCGTTCTCAGACTATTACATGCTTTTCGTATTTAGCAGGCAAACACGCTACCCGCTACGCCATTGCAGGGACATTATCACAAGACTAGTTCTAAAATTTACACAACAGTAGCCATTAGTGTCTGATGTTTAAAGCCTCGGCCATGCAGGAGCTCGCGTCTTCACAGCGACTACCGAGGGAAAAATCTCGTCAAAGGCGCGAAACCCCTCACAATCTTCTGTCCTCATAGATGCGTGACATTAACACCCGAATACATGCATGAATGCGTAAACGTTCTTCAGCCTTTGAAAGTGTTCAAGGACATGATGATAGGCGTGCTTAAAGCGAGCTTCATGAGCATCAAATGGAGCAATATTCTATGCAATATTCAGCGCTTAATAAGTAGCGGTAAAACGGAACACTAAATATAAGTTATAGAGATACTCGATACGCGCATATTTTGAACTCTGATCTCAATTCACCAGACAGGAGCGCATTGTTTCATAGAACTGACGTCTTTAAGGTAAATTTGCCACTGCTATTTTTTGCTCGGTGTTTAACCTAGGTAGAATGCACAAAAGCGCATAGGATCGAGAATTTTAAACAGAAGATCGAAAAGCTTTAGCGGCAGATCCTCTGTGCGTTGTAGCTTAGTCCCGTGAAGTCTTCTCTTGTCTGAGGCTTTTTCTCCCTTATTTTTTATTAACTTTCCCCTATGCTGACCTTGCGCTTTTTAACCTTTCGCAGTGTGGGACATCGGTAGCAGTTGTGAGTCCGGCAGATAAAAGCGCGATAGTACGATCTCTCTTTTTTTGAAGCTTGTTTCAAGGAGCGTGTTCTATAGGTAGTCTTCGAGAGGCTGTTTTCGAAACAAGAGTATATTGTGGAAGAGGCTTAGATGTGAAGGTACGCCTAGGCGCGCTAAGGTATTCTGATTTAACAAGGATGAGTAAAAGGAAATTAGACAGCGAAAATTGTCCTGTGCAACAGCCATTTAGTCAGAGCCTACATGTGCCCGCACAATTAAAAACGACGCGATAGTAATCTCATGGTCCGAATATTGAAACATAAACGTCTACTTAGTCTTAGCCTAAACAGCCTATGTCACTCTCGTCTTAACAATCAACTCAATAAATCGAAGTAAACTTATCAACGACAGCCTATCTCACAGTGCAGCTAAAAATCATTTAAATCTAACCCGTGCTTTTATTGAAGCCCAAACGAAATTTATTTGAAGAGCATGTTCGGCCTAATGGACAGAGAAGAGGACGAAGAAATAAAGGTCGAATTTGTTGTGCGACTCATCTAATATCCTGTTCAGTGGCCTAAGCGGGATTTGGGTAAAGGTGAAGGCAGCGTGAATCTAATCACAAAAATTATCATTTAGCTCTGGAACATGCTTACAATTAGTACTAATTGAAGCTATCAAGAGTCAATATTATCGAAGCAAGAGCTTGGGTAGATATCGGCTCGATGATGCACGGAACTTAACAGCAGCGAAAAATGTCGTTGCAAACATTGAATATATTTTAATTGCGTTGTTTTTGTTTTTACAACCAAACTTTTTCGATTCCAAAATTCAAAGCAATGGAATTTAAGGCCACTTCATATACAAACACGAATATTGTTAGGATATCAATGAGGCCATCATTCTCTCCGCGCTGTTTCCAGGCAGAGAAGGACGTCTGTCATTCGACTAGGCTACATCTGTGTTGTGCTTTAGATGACAGCAGCAGAAACATTAGACATACCATATATCTCACAAGCGCCTCTTTCCAGCCATTCTGTGATGATTTATTTTTATTCCAACGTGTTCATATACAACTCAGTCTATAGATATATATACATGTATATATGCGAAGTTATTTTAGGCAATAATTTAGCAAAAGCCAAGGCGGAACCTTTGATTCACTTTAGCTGATATTTGTGTAGAAGCTTCGTCTACCGGTCTGCAACCAATCGAGTGCCTAACTCGGGAGTATTCCGCCTAGTAGTACCGCTCTGGAGTCTGTCGACGTCATCGGTCCGTATTGAACGGTTTCTGCTAAAAAATTTGCGACGCCGCCTTGGCACCCTACAGACTCTTTCTTCTAGCATCAGTCTGCGTGAGGCTGAGCTAAGGCCATCTTCAGAATTCAGCCAACTGTAAAAAGTAGGCAGCGCCCGCGTAACCAAGAAGTGGCGGCGTCCGCATGAACGAGACGAACGTAGCCTGACCCTTCTGGGCCTATGCGGTTTCCGTTTTGATTTGCTCCGACTCATGTTACTCAGAAAAAGAGAGATTTGGAGGAGAAACGCGGGCGATAGCAAAAAGTGGGACGAAAAGCATGCGGGGCAATTCACAGCCGCCAAGCCGCTTATATATAAGCGACTGTGACAGGTTGCATCGCAAGAATTAAGAATTGCGTTATTGAACGTGATAAAGCCGAGGTGTTCAGTCTTAGTAGAAAACGAAGAGCTGTATTTTGTTCTTAGCCATTGTCTTCACTGTGTTTTATTTCCAGCATCCTTCTAATGAGCCACGAATACCAGGAAAGCTCCTTCTGACCCGCTCATAACTTGATGCGACAGTATGCGCTCGGCAGGACGACAGAATCGTGGGACGTAGGCGGTTGTCAGCCGAGATGTGAAGGCCAGGCGCTTACCACAAAGTGGAAAAAATAGGCCCTTACGCTCTAGTCGGAAGCTTTGATTTGAATTTGAAACGAATGAGTCCAATTACACAACAAATGCTCAGACGATGTCGTATATTCTCTCCTTCCTGTATTCATCTTTTATGAGCATGTTCTTAAAAATACCTACATAGTCAAAAGTCTATTTGTCATTTTTCTAAAAACAAAAAAGGCCAGAAGACGGATTTCGTCTGCTTTATTAGGCTGATATCAGCAGGTATTAATTAAATTGACAAAGTTATCGTAAACAAGATCTGTAATACGTGAGCTGGCATTGGAATCCTTCGTACATTTTTTTGTCGCAATTTTACATTACCCTGCATTTCGATATTATATTAACCATAATAGAAAGTTGGTAGGGGGTCGTTAAATGGTTTTTTGGTTATCTATCCCTTAGGATTGCGAAGTTCCTCTCCCGATAAGGCTACAAGGTGACGACAACAACCACACATAACAACTAACAAATTATAGAAATGACAGCTGAATTGAACAACATGAACATTGAGTATTTGAATTTCTTCACGTTTTGGCGGTATGTTCAAATATTATTCAGTTGTAGCTTTCAAATAGCTTGACTTCAAGAGCAGATCAATAGCAAAAAGGCACTTAATCGATGAGCGTAAGTTATACATATGTCACGTCCTTGAATTCTCAGACTTACTCGAAGGAGAGAAACTTCTACAAGCTACATAAGCTACACCTATATGCACACGACAGAAGGAAACGTCCCAAAATAGAATTAACGAAAAATAAGAACCTCCTCAGAGTTTCTTCGGAATAGAGAAAGCTACGTCAGGTCAAAGTTAGTAGGCCATGTTACATAGAATAAAGTTAATAATAATATAGTATTAAAAATGTCTCCGTTTTGTACTGAAATACTGCATTAATGATGTCTTAGGCTTACTTTAATAGTTCCTCATTACCAGTTAAGTTTATGCGCTACCACACCACAAGTACCCTCTACCGAAGCTTTGAGTTTTTCCTTTGGTTGTTATGATTTTTTAGCAGAATCATATTCAGTTTAATCGAAGTAACAAAAAACACTAAAAATGTCCCAAAAATTGCAGACGGCTTATTATTAATTGTGTTGCCCCTATCAACCATCAAAGTCGTAACGTTTTTTTCCTAATAGTTGGCATTCCACCAGTTGTGACTGTTTAAATCAATCTCTATGACAATGTACTGATAGGAAATTCAGCTTTCTTAAAAATAGAAAGGCGCAGAGTGCGATTTGGGGGCGGCTGAAAATATCTGCTGGCAGTCTTTTGCATAGCCTTCGTTATGTGCGTAATTTCAACAAGTTAACTTTTATGATTCTGTACTGAATTAGTATTTGTTTTGCACATAATATTTTTTAAACTTTCTTTTAACAACATAGTATATAGCCAATAAATATATATTTACCCAACATATCGTATCAAGAACTCCTCTGCAGTTTCCTGTTGCCCTATTGGTCTGATCCTGTTGCCCTGTTTTTAGGCTAAATTAACTTACGTATAGCAAACACCTTGGAACAGGTGGATTTCATAGAACGACTCCGGCCTATCTGTAATGGTCAGTCTCTGTTTAAGCGCTATATACTATATTTAGAAAGTAGATTAGGTGTTGGTTACATATTGTAGATGACCTTGCAAATATTTGCATTTATGTTAATTTAAATCAGAATAAATTAGAAAACATCTGATTTCCAAGTCCAGGAGAATTTTAACTGCAATTCATTAACAAGTACGGCATGTAGAATTAGCTAATTCCGTGCGCTCAACTTATTATCTCCGATAGAAAAAATAAGTTGATCCCTTTTGTCCTAGTGCATTCAGTATTCTTCTGGCATAAAAGAAGAAGCTAACGTTGACATGTGGTCCTGAAAAGAGACTTGGGTCTGCAAGTTTATATTGAGCTTCACGAAGGCCGAGCAGTCGATGAAAGAACGGTCTAAAGATGACACTTCCATGGGGGAACAAAGCGCCGTAAGAAAGCCCGCTAAAGTGAAGAGCACAAAATAAATACGATGAGCAAGCGGAAACAGCAGAAAGCGATTGTTTGTAACTGACAAAGTCGAAGGTGGGCTAATAGACCAATAGGATGCAAGGTAGAACGCGTATGAAACCCGAAGATACGAAGTCCCAAGAACGTATTTGCTATAGTTTGTAATGGTCAATTTTCAATTACGCAAGAAATGTTTTCGCGTTTGGCATAGGTTCATTGCCGATTTGTCAATTTGTTAAAAAGAAGCATTGGCCTATCCAATACATCGGCATTGCATTCTATTCTGCTGATGCTTCGGTGGTATACAAGTGTGCGGGCCGTCGTAATCGTGCAGACCGGCATAATGGATTGTTGGGTTCTACGTGACAATAACATAAAACAATGAGTGTACTTTTATCGTGTTCCAGGGCTTGAGGACGGCAGCATTTTGGTTCGTTGTTAAGATCCAGCTGTCCTCTCGAAGAATTGGGATTCAGTCAAACTGCAGCATTTGTAACCTTCAAATAAGCCCCTTCAAGCTGATCCGTATTTGGTTAGATCTCTTTTTCTTTTGCTTCTTGTTTTTGGCTAGTTACCATCCTCAAGTTAGTTTTACACTAGATCAATAAACAAGTGCCCAAAAGCACTTCTCTTAATAGGCTTGCTGGATTGGGTCTTCAATTCGATTCAAAATTTTATCTATTTTTAAATAAAGGAAACTTTGCCAGATAGCTATATGAAATGTTCAAAGACCTACTTGGTTCTCTATTCATGTACGACCTCACATTCCTTGAAAAAACTTGAGCTACTATAGGTCGTATTATTTATTTTATTATTTAACTATGGGCATCATCGTCACACATTATATTGTAGCCGTATCTGTCAGGCGATTCTTCCAAAACTTTTGTTACTGATAGCTAATTGCTCATTACGAAGTTATTCAAACTGGAGAATATTATGAGCAATATTTGCTCTTCGGAATCGCAAATCCATTCGATCGACATATCCTGATTCAGGACATAAGTTTGATTCGATCCGGCTCAAAGTTATATGTTCAGGCTGTCCGCTTCAGGAATTTGCGGTGTACGCGATCCGTCGGAGCAATGTCTCTTTATACGCTTGTTAACCACACAAGTGGCAACACTTAACAACAAGAAAGCAACTTCGGTAAAACCAGCAACCTTTAAAAATGTAAAATGGCCGTCCGCTACCACAGTTGTTATTTCAACCGTTGCAGCACTTCTTTGTATCCTGATGACGTCGTCGATGCCACACGGTCCCTTCTGCCTTTTTGATCTTTTTAGACTTAACTTTTGCCAGACGAGTCTACACGAACGGGCACCACCCAAATATACAAATACTCACGTACGACCATATCTTTCATATGGGTTTTTCGTTTTCTATTTGAAGTTTGAAATGGAAAGGATTACAATGTTACTCTCATCTATCGCTGACGTTTCATTTTGGTCTGCTTTGTTTGTAAGGCGTGACCCTTCGGCTGAGTTCCTGCCAATAGAGGTTCGGCAGGCCTTCGAACAGCTCGAACCAGACTGCAACGGGAATAGCCCGCAAACGATAGGGCGAATGAGAAACAAACCTGTTTGGATACGCCGGACACGGCACTCTCAGCTCAGGCGACTTCTCCGTGGCTTGTGGCATGATACCGTATTGTTCCGTGCGCGCTCTCCACACAGTGGCTCACCGTGGGTTTCTTTGCTTCAACCGCTTCCTCCTTGGGTCGTATTTTTCCTTTTTCTCATTTGGTATGCTCTCATTTACTCTTTCCTGGATAGTCAACCTCAGCGAATGTTTACTTCGCTATGACGTCACAACGGCCGCCAGCCTGATGGCTAGTTTCTGCTGTACCTTTCCGAAAGCATGAGGTGAAGACAGGCGGAGAGAGCGGTGGATAAAACGAGCCAGGGCAATGGGTACGGAACACGGAAAAAGTGAACGACAAACTGCGAAAATATCTGGCTGATCGTGCCCAAAGCTCAGTGCCTGTTGTTACTGTTAGCGCCATGTAAAAGAGTGAGCGAATGGGTTGGCAAGCGATCGGACATTAGGCTGGCCAAATGGAAAGGTGATCTGAGATCTTCCTGTTTGTATCAGCTCTAGCCTGGCCACTCGAGAGACCCGGGACGGATCTTTGGCGAAATGTTGAACTGTTTTAGATATTGACCCAGACTTCTACTAAATTCACCAGTTGCTGATTGTGTACAGTCGGATGACATAGACATCGGCCATCTAGGAAAGGGAGTTGACGAACCAGTATGGTTGTTCTCGATATAAAGCTAAGCGTTCACTGAAAATGTACATTGGTGCACCAAATCGTGACTGTCTATATGGATTCGGAGTTCTTACACAGAAGGTTGGCTATTAACGCGGAAAATTGGCTTCTGAAACCTACAACTCTGTGAATTACTACATATCGAGTTAGGAAAATAATCAAAGATTGAGTTAGAGAGCGTCAAGTTGATAGTGCGCGTAACAAATCAACATTTTGATTCCATGCCGCTATTGATGTTCCGACGTTTTCGCCGGAGCCGCAACTGTCGTTGGCTGCGTCCGACATGCTATGGCTGTTGTGATAGAAACCACCACCGTCGCCGCTGCTGTTGCCATGGGAACGGAAGCTGCCTATATATCCGATCGGCGTCGGTGAACGCCCTAAACGAAAGTGCCGATAGCACCACTCTGTCGGCTGCTCCGCGCTCAGCAACACACACCCCTATGACAAAGTCTCGGGCCTTTTTTAAATCTCCAAAGATCTGCCAATATTGTCGTGAGTTACTTCCAAGGTGTTCGTGTTTTTGCAACCCCTTTTGAAGAGTTGCTACTATGCTACCAAGGTAGATAGCAAAGTGTGAAGATAAACAGGCTAATCTTGAAATCGCGAGAGACAAGACACCATTCCGGCTTTGGCTCTTTTTACTCGTTATGAATATATGATCCAGTGCTTAATTGATTGCAGGAACTTCCCAAGTCTCAACCTAGTTTTGTTTTGTTAAAGCACTGTATATTCAAATAATAGGTTACAAAGGAAGATCGTCGTGTCTAGATGTAATGCGTGATACAAGGTGACACATGCGGCTATGGCAACAATAATTACGAGAAAAACTGATAAGTTTCATTACATACACCCGCACGCGGTACTCTTTGTCTAGCTCTACTATATGACGTAACGAGTAGTATCAGAAAAATGCACCATGTAGACCCATCCAATAATTACTAAAAAGCAGACAATATTATATGCGTATGATTCAGTGAGAAATGATCAGTCAAGAATGGAAATAGAATTTAAAATTTTAGTTGCAGGCTCGTATTTTCTTCACGTAATTCTTCACGAGTTCTTCACGTAGATACATAGAAACCGGCAGAGCTGATAGTTGGCATTTTCGCTGACTGATTTAGTTAATCGACTTGCCTCCATATTCACAATGTTTGTATTTATTTTACGATTATAATCTTTGTATCTGACACCGCTAGCATCCCGCGAATTGATTTCACACGTTTGTTGAGTATATTATTTATTGTTGAAAACACGCGAAGAAAAATACGTTTATCCATGGACGTTCTTCAAAACGGAGTCAGACCTTTGTCTGACGTAGCGTCCTCGTCTGTTTCTTGTCTTCTGCTTAAGTCTAAAGCTTTTTTTCCTAAGGCGTGTGTTAAGACATTATCTCGTAGAAGAAAATTTTACAAGGCAGGTGTACTGGGGTGCACACTGGGGTGCAAAGACATTTCTGAATAACTATAGGCAACTTTTTGGATGGAACGTGTTTACCGGTACGAACTAAAATTCGGGAACTTTAGAAAAACCTTCATCGGTATATATTTGATTGGTCGTCTTTCCGCGCAAAACGGCTTTTGCGTCCCCAAACGTAACGCGGCGTACATGAAGTCGGCTTTCTCTAATGGACGTATTAGTGGCTTTCCGCTGACCTCATCGCGAAAGCGGAACGTCCTTACCATGTCACCGTTTTCTGGTGACAATTCCAGGTACATTAGTATTCATTGCATTTTTGTTCGGCCCGTCAAGGACTATCGATTGGTACCAAGAAAGACCTCCCTACGTAGAACACATAGTGTTTGTTGTAACTGAAATTCCTTGGAGATGTACACTTTAAATACTTTTTACCAAAATTCTAATTAGCATTTATGAAAGGCTTTTTTAGAAAAATCAGAGTCAAAAACTGCACCCATTGTCGTATAGACACGTCCAGCAAAAAGACATATTTGGAACTTTGGCGGATTGCTTGTTGTAGCGAGCAAGTGCTTATCCGCTACTCTTGGTACCAGCAGAAGGCCAACTTTTCCTAGAACAGGCCAATCAGACAAGTTCGTCATGGCAAAACCAGTGTGTCGTTTTCGCAGCTTGAGCGACGGTCAGCTATTACGCAGTGTCTTCGCATAGGATAGAATCGAGCGTACACGTTATTTCCAGCCTTCGTACGACTTTTGAAACAAACCTACAAATACGGACCAGAGCTTAAATTTAAAAAGCACAAAAATTCATTAAAGTGGTTCAAAAGGCATTGGATTGTTTTATATAGAAATTTGCCATTTAGTTCATCTAGATAGGCTCCAACGTTTAGTGCTTTTGCAACTCTGTGCGGCATTCAGAGCCTTCACATTTTTAGGACTTTTAGCTGGCTATTAGGCCATAAATTTAATTCTGCTAGGATTTTTTGTATCTGGCAGATCTAAACAACACCTCGACGACTCTATACTAATCTACACCATATCACTAGACGTATTACAAGATTATTCTAAGACTGGTGAGCGGTTTAGGTCCCGAATTCAGGCTGTGATCACGGTGAACCGAAACTATATTGCCTAAACAAAACTGCGAGAAGCACCACGTTTAGCACAGCATATGTAAAAAATTTCATTGAAATACTTGTTTTCTCTAGCTGCAGTCTCGGGTGCGCCCCTTCTGTGCATATGCTTTTAATGGTTTTGGGATATACACACATTGAATTATCTCTATGACTTATTACTAGCTGCGCGCGAAAATCTGGAAATAAGTGACTTTTGTTTTTTTCTGATTTCCCTTCAGAAACTATTTCAAACGTAACGTGCACAAGTGCGTTTTTCAGAAGTGACTCACCGCAAATAGAGTTGACATTTGACCAATAACGAGGTTTAAAGCGGTTCTAAGAAAAGCTACCTTCATGTGTCCTATATATTCCATATTATATAGAGTATATTTAAGTAAATTTAGCACACACGTGCACCTTATAGTAATTGACTTGACACAAACGGCAAGAGATTTCGTTAAACCCTGGGTGGTGCTTTTTTTTTCACAGCTAAACTTGTGGCCGAAGAAGTTAGGATCTGCTGGGAGATATTACACTCGTATACATGCAGGCGCGAACTACACAAGGAAAGGTCGTGCGTAAAAACACAGCAGAAGATTTGTTTAATATCAGCTTAGTCACGTTATCTGGAAGGCGTCGGAGAGCCTGGTGATTAAAACATGTCTCAAGCAAGGCAAACATTTCTTTAACTTTAAAAATTACTTTAAAAAGCCTGCACATTTTGATGGATTTGCTAAAAATAATAGATGAAGGCGAAAAATACATTAATCAGTGTAGCGTTAATATGAAACTTGCACGTTGCCAAAAAGCATGACAAGCTGTACTTTGTTCAGTGGTCGTTCCGAGAGATATTGTCGACATTGTTCCCGTCACGGATGCATTGTCAATATAACTATAGACAAACTTTACACAAGTAAAAACTGTTATACGCCTGGTGATTGTGTCTTTGTTATCCAACAAATAGAGTTGTGAAATCTTTCTAATACGTTTACTTTAAATCAGAGCCGCGTGTAAAGTTTGCACTGATCCAAGCGTCGAAGGCCCCTTGATTAGTTTTAGTAATTATTTGCCAATGCGTGACTAGGGTAGGCCCACAAGCTCACACAGCATAACACTTTTTTTCAATATTCCTATTCTAGGACGCAGCGTACATCATAGTGAACTTCGGCCTTATCGTCAATTCTGAATTTTTACGTTCCGTACGCTAATGTAAAAGAAAATTTTAAATTTGAAAAAAATCATCGATATTTCTCGAAAACTATTTTTTTTTTACAGAGAATGCCAGCCGGGACTGGAACGTTTATGTGTGATGGTTGATTATAAAACGTTTTGTAGTGATGTTTCTAAAGATCACGTGCTATTATAAATATATGGAGGAATAATTGACTATTAATATAAAAATAAGTCTAAATAATCTTCTTTTTACTAAAAAAGATATCATTATTAAAGTTATTAATATAATATAAATTAATAATATAGCAGGATGTGTTATAAAAATAATTATTATTATAATATTATCATTATAATTACTATAAAGCGAACTATTTTTTCTGATTTACAAAATCAATATTTTATATAAATTATTATAGTTATCTTTTCATTTAACAAATAAGATGAGTAAATCGCTTACAGAGAACTATGTCTACACTTTTTTTGGGGTGCATATGAAATAATACCTTTTCGGCTGCACTGTGCTATTTCAAAAAGTTCAACGATAGCGGATAGCCGGGTCTAGAGTTCATAATTTATATAGAATATATGGGGTGCTAAATTCCGTTTCAGGTCTCTAGTTAATGAATAGACTCGAGAAGCGGAAGCTGGGCGGGAAATACTCGCTGAGTATCTCTAATGTGGACAATTTCATTCGGCTTCGGGCTTAATAGACATTACCAGTCCTACTATGCCAGTCTTACAGAGTCCGTTCGATTTTTTATACGGTTATTTTGCAATTTCTGTGTTTTTATTGGAATTTCTAAGCAGCTTGTAAGTAACTCGAAGTGCTAATTTAATGACCATTTCAGCAAATTAGTGGGCTGGGCCGACTGGCTTCGTGGAACAATGCTTGAGACCTTAGCTTTAAGTGGCAGAACTTAAAATTATTTAATTTTATAATCTATATTTGTTCTTTATTGGGAAGTGCCCTTGATGAGCGATGGCTAAGAATGGTAGCGAAAAAGGCCGCGTATATCATATGTTCGATCAGCAACAAGGAGAAAATGAATTTAAATTAGTCGTATCGGAATCAGGAAGGTATTTTGGCTCAAAAATTAGCCGTTAGTACTGTCTGTGAGTCTGGTGTCTGTTACAGTCTCGTAAATATTGTGCTGTAGCTCCGTTTGTATACATATACTTCGACTATGTTTGCTTTTCGTGGAGCGTCCGGGTGTGACAGACGAGAAAACGGGTCCTGCATTACTTAATTTAATTTAAGTCAAAGGCTCCAAGCACTGCTTTTGTTGTTGCGGTCACCTGTACAGGACACTGGTGCCGTGAAGGAATTAGTCATCTAGGGTTCGGCTTCAACATGGAGTCTATATGACTGCCTTCGATTTTGTGGCAGGTGTTAAAGCTAGGAAAAGATAGAGAGTAGTAGCTTAAGAGAAGGAGACAGACGTGTAAAAAGGGACAATAATCCAGCTGGCAGTCGCACGAAGGAAACTATCCAGCTTCGGAGGGTCGCAAAGCGAATCGTTGGAAAGAAGGAAACATACTGAGGCTAAAAGACGCAAATCAATGAGAAACGGGTGCGACACTGATTGACTTCTACGAGGCCCGGACTTGAGACAGAGACGAAGTCTGGGTACTGAACTGACTGAGACAGACGCTGGCCAAAACAGCAAATTACAATACCTGGTCAAGCCGTACGGAAAAGGAATAAATCGCAATGTAGAACAAGGTGGGCCAAAGACGCAACTAATGCTAGTAAAATGCAGCTGGTGGAAGAGGTTGATTGCCCGAAGGTCACGCGTCGGACCGCAAGCCAACCTCATTGCTTGCTCCACTGTACCGCGCATTGCAATTTGAGTTTCCTCACTTCGTTTCCTAAAGGAATCTACCGTCTTAAAAGTTCCCTCGAACTGCAGCTCTGGTGGTACAGAGCTGCGGAAGCGTCTTCAATGAACTGACATCAGAGAAATGTAGGAACGTGCCTGTCGTTGATGTAAACTCTATTGTGCCCCGTGGCTTGCCGCCGCGCCATCTTCTGGGCTCTCTCCCTTCCATTCCTGTTCTATTTACAGTAGTCCTCGCTAAAACGAAAGCTGCCCGTTAGTCGGGTCGTCGTTCTTATGTCGAAAGCTGAAGTAAAACGACAAATACGGATCGAGGTTTTCTGTAGTCTGCGAATACTGGATCTGTCAGGCGAGGAAGCAGACGGCCAAGCAAGCCGAGAGGAAAGAGAATCTAATGTAACCGGCTATCTACAGTTCAAATCGAAAGGTAGATTTGTGAAGAAATAGAAACGAACTAGTCAGGGCGAAGATGACTGAACTGGTTGAAAAGGCTTAGACAAGTGACTGCTGTTTTTTTGCCATAGCAGCTATTTTCAGGCTGAGTTTCTCCTCGAGAGAATCAGAAGACTAGGTGAAGCTTCGAGAGACTGAGCTTTGTTCACCGGAATGTCCGGGGAGTGATACAGATCGTTGGGGGATGGTACAATAGCGTGGGCTCCGTAGAGACAACGTGGGGAGAGGCCAATCTAAATGAAAAGATTTTTGCCAAACCCTGCTTCCCATGGTTCCAGTTTCCTTTCAGCAAAGTTGAATGTTCCTTCAAACGAATTGCTTGCCCACTTAGTAGACCAGTGTCGTAGCAGGTCTCCTGGATGAGCTGCCCTCACGTGCGTTAACAACGCACAACAAAATTAAACGTTAATTATGACATAGAGCCTTTCTGTGGACATCCCGTACTGATCGCAGCTTCCGCTAGGGGTTTTGCAGGTGGACGAGTAGTGCTCGGAATAAAGGCATCATAGAAGCATTTGGCAAAGTTCGTTGAACAGAAACTTGGGATTTTTTTCGTCGAGGTCTGATGACGCCAAAAAATATAATACAAGGATGGGATGGTTGCGACAGATCTTTCGAAGAAAAAGGGGTTCTTTGTTTAAATCCAAATGGGAAAGGTGATTTAATGACGTTCCACTATCGCTGCCTCTATTTACTGAAGGATTATGCGAATGTCGAATGGATGACCTTAACGGACTTTTATGATTTGCTCCTTTTCTATACGCCATGGTTTCTATTATAGGGGTCGGTATCTCATGGCCTAACATAAGATGTTTATCTATTTTTCTTGTCATGCTTACCAGTGATATCTGTTTTGTTCGTTGTTTATCGGCTCGATATTTTCCTTCATGTACCATGGGGTATCCAAAAAAAGTGATTCCTATCTATAAAAGTAGAAGTTTCTGTTGCTTGTTTTCTTTCACCTGTTGTGTTCCCTAAACCGTTTACAGTGGCACTTTGCTGTTATAGTCATTTTAACATTCTGATAATCGAAGATATGGGCTAAAGAAAGCCGTCTTTACAGTTGACCTAGTTCAAAACCAATGACTCAGCTACCTGAGAATTTTAGGTGAAATCGATTCGTTGTAAAGCTTCAACTGTCTCAAATGAATTTCCCTATGGAGAAAAATCTACTTCTATTCTGCAAGACTTTTGACTGCTTCTGGCTGCGTTTGGCGGTAGCAAGTTAATTCTGTGGTCCAAAGTTGTCCTCCTGTCTCTACAAATATACACATCGTTTCTCCGCCTGCATCTGCTTCTCTTTTTGAGGCCTCCATGCCCTAAAAACCGAAAAAGGGTTCTGACTAGGATAATTCCCGGGTTCTGTTGGGGGTCCTGATTTGTGCTACCCTGCTTACTAGCTTGACTGGCTTAATCCGTTTTTCCCCTTGGCAGGATCTATCCCCGAATTTTCCGCTCACAGCACCCGAAAATAGCACCTAACTCCTACCTTTTGGAAAATTGCCATCCGTTTCATATGTTTATAGCTTTCTGCTTTGAAGCACAACGCCATCATAACTTCCACCATCTGGTTCGCCCTGTCCAACGTTCGAACGCCTCGTAGCAATGTGCGCCAACAAGAAGATTCCTACAAAATGGGAAAAATAGAAAATGAAAGCTCTACTGGAACAAACGCGGATACGAATAGAGTTGGTGTAGTAAAATGCCTTGCAAGGCATGCCTATGAGCCTATCAATGATTCGGTAGGCACATTCATAATGGTTATAGCTAGTTTCGATAATACGCATAACTGAAGATTACGCTGACGAGACCGAGTAGATCTGCAAGCTGCCTCAGCTGTTGATGACTGTAACCCATGTATAAGATGGATGAGACGAAATTATAGTATTTTTTTCAAAATATTTAAATACAATTAAAATGCAACAACACACTGCAGTTTGCCAACAAAACGGCAAGAGAAAAACAAGTCGGGCTAGATTCCTGCAAAGCTAGAGATTGATCGACCATTTTTCGTGGGACACCACTCATTGGCTAATAGGCTAAAGCTTCGTTTTGTTTTTGGTTTTTCTCTCACTGGATACATTCAGTTAGGTTAACAAGGAATAAAGCACATTGCATAATGTCATTGCTAGTCAGAGAAAACAGTAAGCCTATTTTTGTTAATTTTGACCTCTGTCAAAATTACCTGAACTATCCTCAGATAGTTCATGGTGTTTCATCCTTCATCTACGACGATAGTCGAACAGATAGATTGAGTCACGGCTACAATTGGGTCGCGCCTGCATTCAAGCCTTCGTTAACCCATCAGTTATTAACAAGAATTTGTGCTGTTAGTCGTTCCTTTGTCACAAAGAAGAACTGCATGCAGTGCTGAAGTTCTATAAACATTTTCATTTAATATACCTGGCGTACGCATTATCTGTTATGTATATCACGCGCTTTGATGCCTTCAAGCAATTTCAGTTATCTCGATACAAATCCGCTGTCCGCTGCGCGTTGGTCGGCGAAACACCATGGCTAAATAACTTCAATGATTGAACCTAAGTGCGGTTTTAGAAAGGAAAGTTGAACATCGTTCAAAGAAACTGAGAATCCATTTCTACACATAATACCTACATGATTAGCCCTCTACACCCATTTGTCTACAATAACTGGATTTCTATTTCTCTAAATTGTAGTTTAATTATTTGTGTGCTTTCTTCAGTATCCTGACAAAGCAACAGGATACCTAGCAAGCGATGTTATCCGAGGAAGCTTATTGCAACACTGAAAAGGGAAACCATATAAATGAATTGTCCTCAATATTTAATAAACTGTAGTTTAGAAATAATAATTAGAAAAATATTAACATACATAATGAAAGAAGCTTAACACGCCTTCGACCTCTTGAGGACCCGTTAGGGGGTTAGCGTTCTTTATGTGCTTAACAGTACAGTTTTTACGTGACCCTCGGACCATTTATAGTGGACCGGGCGATCCCGATACTCGTCGTTCGAGTGTCTTCATTTTAATCTAAATTTTCTACGGGCTTCTTATCAAATTCGTAGTATTGAAGGCACAGCATCATTAAATCAATCTATAGCGTAGCTATAAACTGTTTGAAAGTGAGCCATCACCCATACACCTGGTCGGGTCCTGGGTACGAAAGCCCAAGCAGTACCTTGTCGATATGTATACTAAATCCAAAGCATATGTACATTTTCATTATATTTTTAGTCGTAAAAAAGAAATCGAGATTCAACTGAAGTTCAAAATGAGGCGAAACGTTTCTGAGCGATATTCTGCTAACCTATATTGTAGCTAGCACAACGTGACACGAAAAATTATATCTCACAGTGAGTAAATCAAGCCAAGGTCCTGTTGTGCTTTTTTTTTTTATATAAGCTCGATATTGCGTTGCATGGATTTATTTATTGATTTTTAATGGGTACTGCTGATTTACTTTAGTTACTCATGTTTAGGTTCAGCTTAAACTACTTTCGACGTGATTAGAAGAGTTAAGAATACGTATCATCGACTTTCGATTATTGCTTTTCGGGTCTAATTTTTTTATGCCTAATTTTTATAATGAAGTGTCATGTGCCGTTAGAACTTTTTCTATAAAAATTCTTTAGGATGTTTTGTTTTTCCTCTCGAATAAATTTCACTGATATTTAGTAGGCCTTCTGATATTTTGTCCTGCTTCGATTTGTTCGTCTATGTCATTGCAGCTTTCTTAAATTCTAAATATGGGTCTTTTTCACCAAAGGTCGAATTTTTCTAACATAGGTTCATATACTGGAAGGTGCGAACTAAAAGTACTATTTATTTTGAACAGGGACGGGTACAAACATTTAGAGCTGCATATTACATTTAGCAAGGCAATAAGCAGAAAAAACATTACGTACGGAAAACTTAAATAAACAGAGTATATTCTATTATTCAGTAGGGTGAATCTATAAATTATTGACCTGGAGTAAAAACATTCGGTCGCTTACCTAACGTACGGCTTAACATCTAGCCAATTAGCGCCTAAATTTGAGATCTTGTTGACCCAGTTCAATTTTTTGCATTTGAAGTTGCAGGGCACGATATGTCCGTGGCTTATTACGAATCTCCGAAGTGTGACCCGCAGAAAAGAGACGGGACCCGCAAAGGGAAGGTTGGCCAGGACAACTCGCCTTCAGCAGGCCCCAACGATTTTTATGAAGTGAAGGAAACGCTGCTCACCAACCGCTGTGAAGCTGACGATTATTCAACAACAACAACAGCAAGCGACTTCACACGGAAAAAAGCACGAAACTGCAACGAGACGGTAATAGTAACTGTTGTACTGGTATAGTTTTTGTTCTGTTTACTTTCTGTCCCAGCACTTGTGTTTGTTATAATAAAGTGATTGTTTTTTATTGATTTTTTATGATTTATTTAAGGTCAGTCGGTGTAGAGAACACTGCGCAGTTGGGAAGCTTGGTTACGGGGAAATGCTTAGCCACGTGCGGAGCGCCGTAAATGTAGTAACCGCATATTAAGTATTAGACTATCTGATCAAACAGTGTTTTCGTCAGACAGATTATAATACAATAGATTTGTACATGAATATAGAATGTCCGTATTTGTCTATTGCCTTGGTTTTGTCGTTTTCCGTATACCAGTAATCAGGTAATCTCTACCTCTAAAACGTTGCTTGACAATTCCCTTGCAGGGTAAAAAAAACTCCTTCCGGCAGCGATACCTGGCCATCAGCGAACGAAAAATAAAAAACAAAAAGCAATGGAGAAGACACAATCTATTTATCTCAGAAGAATTTGACTTGCGCGGGCGAAACATTGGGGATTAAGGATACTTTTGGAAATTCAGACGTAGTTTTCACGATAGCAGATTTAATCATCAATAATTTTCATTTTTCCACTTCCTTAAATAAATGCACCATATTTGAATTGCCAACTAATGTTTGCTTCTTGACTAATAGTTACCAATTTGATGATCTTTACTTCAAGTTGTCGGCACACCAAATCCAGTTTTGAGCCACAGCCACCAAATGGTTCTATGTTTATGTATCTTTAGCGTTTTATGATCGAAGGATTGAGCATTAAACCGTAAATATTCGGTAGGAGATGTGTACAGTATATTTTACTTAGCAGGAATTGGGCGAGAAAATGAAACATGTGGACTGTTTATATCTGTTTATACCTCAGGATGACCCCGGTGTCACGATGGAACGGCCTTTAGTTCAGGAGCAAAGCCGAGCGGACCCCGAAACACGTGATGACCAAGGAGTAGGAAGCGATCGATTGCCTTCACCGAATCAGGCCATCAATCAGAAACGCCGTCAGAGTCAACAACAACAACAACAACAACAGGTCCACCAAAGTTATCAGGGCCACTCTAGCGCTCAGCCCCGGCTCATCCCTTTATTATTGCGCTTCTACCACCGATTATTCAAAAGCTTCCGCAAAGCTTGGACCGGTGTAAGGTTCGGTAAGTTTAACGAATACTTTCGAAAAACTTCAGATCGGTAATATTAGGCTCTCGATTGTGGACTAGAAGAACAAGAACGAACGGAACGCTCACGCAGATTTTTTAATCAGCCATTTAATAAAGACGTGAGCACACATCGTGTGTTTCGTGAATAACCTAAATGTGCTACGCTAAATGTACCTATATATTATGTAGCCACACGTATTTACTGCATTTTGCAGACACGCAGTCTAAAAGTTTTAGCGGACACTATTTTAACAAAATTACGTGAAAAATAATTTTGAGATAGCTCACACGTGAAATTTCAATTTTATTCGGATGTATTAAAACAATATGTTTTGTTATTAACATGTATTAACAACGGATGTATTAACAACGATTTTGTTATTGGGAAATTCGTTGTATAGAAAAGTACGCCCAATTTGAGCAGCGTGAACATTTTTTAGAAATTTGTGTTGCGTGGGAAGCTTAGTTCAAGTTATGCTGCAAGCCTACTTGTGTTTAACAAATTCTGCGAAACAAACTTTAGGTTAAACGCAAGTCTAGCTCTCGTGCCTATCTAAACTATAGCAACTTTAGACTTGTCCCTATCCTATCAAAATTACCATGGTTAGAAAACAGCCATAAAAAAAGATCGACACGCTAAGAACTGTAGACAAAGCGAACAATCGGCTTAGAGCAGATCGTGAACGTTCTAACAACAGAACGGTCTAGGCAAGATGAGGCAGCGGAAGAAACGCAAAATCGATGCAGGCCACAATAAAAGTGACAGCAAACCTCCAGGCAGAACAAAACAACTGAAGACGCAAACGATCGACGTCGCCCGTCATTAATAACGAAAGCTGTAGGCGACGGGAAGCGAATCAATGCGAGAGCATCTCGGCAAACGTCCGTAGGATGGACGAAACTTGCCTTTCTTGCAAAAAAACAAAATGACAAACTTCTCTGGTGTGTAGGAAAAAGTGACCTTAACGACAGGCAACTACCTGTAGAACCGGATGAATTGTACATACAAGCAACACGATCCGAGTACAGGTTTTCGAAAAATATCAGATAATTCAATGACTTTTTTTTGTATCACTGAAGAGTACCATCCTCCCAAGGAAACATGCGATTTTTCACTAACTATACGAAACGATGCTTATCATAGAATCGGGCCAATGATGCCACCATATGATAGACAATGCTGAATTCGTTAAATCCACTTTACGAGCGCGGCATTGAACAGTATGCATAGCATTGACTCCTGCCTATAAATTAGGAATCGTCCAGAATCGCCTGGCATCGTTCGAAGCATAAAAAAGCACTTGGAAAGAAAAATTTTTATATTTGGTATCTAGCAACAACTAATCAATTGAAGATTTAGAGAACGCGCGTACCAGTATTGATCCGGATCAACGATCGCCAGGCAAACATGGGGGAACGTACAACGTTCAAGCATCAGATAAAGTTGGCTCTATTCTTCGAAGTCGCATCGATTGCCCACAGTATGTGCCGCTCCCATTAGGGAACAACGTTCAGCATTGTTAGCTGCAACCGACAATGCCGGAAAAAATAGGTGCACTGCATCATTACGTATACTAAATCGTGGGTCGTAATGAATAATTTCAATGATATTTTGCGGGCAAGTTGTCTCTTTTATCAGTACCTGGCCCATATAGGCGCAAAAATTGTATTTGGTAACCTATACTATTTAGAAAATAGTAAAAAATTTTCCGCAAAAATTGATCCCCATCCAGGGGATTCAACACGCAACGAAGAGGAGTACACAAACGCCGCATTGAAAGGCGGAACCTCGACAGGATACTACAATCTACGTTCGCTCACACCAAAATCGGTCGCTGTTCCCGACCGCGACATGCAATACAAGTCGACCAAGTATTGCGGCCTCACCATATTTCACCGAGACAACAATGCCTCAAATAAAAAAAAAAATTTATAAACAATGTTACAGCCTATTTAGCAACTAACAAAAGTAAACCCTATGCCCACGTTCTGTTGTGATTCGATGGGGACACCAAACTTCTATCGTAAAAGTACAATACAAGCTGAAACCCCGAATTCAAACATGTACAGATTCGTACTAAGAGATATGATTAATGATCAGTGACAAACACCTGATTCGCCCCGTACGAAATACCCGAAGAGGTCCCGAAACCACGGACAGAGTGTACATGATATGATGAAAACGGTAAAATATGTCAGAGTGACGTTGTCCCGATACGGGGATTTTGCCGATTACAGAGAGAGCTAATAGCATGGAAAACATGCAGTTATGTCACAATGGATCGACCCAGAAGACGGCGGGGTTCGAAAGACTTCTGATGAACAGCCGAAACATTGAAGCTCACTTCATCAGTGAAATCAACTAAGTACATTGGAGCAAAACGACAAAGCTATTTTTGCTATAGACAAAATCGGACAACTTTGTAACGAATGATAGGTAGGACTTTATTTAGCAGTTGCGTAAAGATTAACTTGCAGGTTCGTGAACGAATATCCACCTATTAAGCAATTTCATCTATACTTATTGTACGAACAACATTACTTTACGTCATGAGTATCATTATTTCTCTATGTTAGTAAAGACAGAATGACAACTAGCGTGGGTCGAAGCCCACGAATCCGTCTAGCATCTATCTGTTTCTATTGTATAACTAAAACCTTATGTCTGTTCGTCTGCTGTCAGACCCAAATCGGCCTCTTAGGGTGGTTACATTGGGTTGGTTGTTTAGAGCTCTATTTTAGGTAGTGCTGCGAGTAGGATGAAACCGATGTATGAATATTTATCTTTGGCAAAAAAAACTACCTTTCTGATACTGTAACACTTCCTTAGAGCAGGGGAACCGACTGCCAACGTGATGGCACCATAACTGAACGCTTGTGAAAATATCGGTTTGTTACTAAGCAAGAGTTTATGGTACGGGTTAGTTGTAACACATGTTACGTACGACCGTTCGCTGAGAGAATGACCTCAGCGTGCCAGCAGGCCTGTCAAAAAGGGTGAAAGCGAGATTAATATTGTCAACAGATTAACTGAATTAGGAAAATCTAAACATTGTAAAAAAAATAGCAGTAATAGCAAAATCACGAAAATGCTACAAAAAAAAAGTCCAGGAAAAATGTAGTCAACCAACAAAATCACCTAATGTAGGAACTGCAATCAAAGTATCTTGGGCCAGTTTTGGCGCGGATGAAACTTATCCACATTTGAATGGGTTGGTATATAATGGATTAAGGTAATTGCGGTGGGATATCTCGACTCATAGTTTGAGCGGTGCTAGCTGTAAAGTCAATAATTATCTAGCACCTATCAAATGAGTTGTGCGCTACCTGAAATGTCCTGGGCCAGCTTGCCAAAGTCTTCTCTCAAGGTCTCAAGGCCCTGACTCTTGTCGTAAAATTTGCACATATCGTGCTTCTATCTGAAATGGAGAATCTCTATCTAGCGTATTCTGATGAAAAAAAAATTTAAAAAAAAAAGGTCCAAACAAAAAAAACGGCATTTAATTCATCACTCGTCGAGCGTCAATGATTCTACTTGCAGCTAAAATAGTAAAGATCTGCTATAATAGAATATCATATGTTACTTTCTACCTCCTCGCTATTTAGGATCACCGGCTGAGAGATGGCGGTCTTGTTACTCGGCCAAAGGTCCTGGGTCAAAACGACCCTCGTACTCGACTTTTATAGCTACTTTATATACCTTGTCTCACACATTATAACCACAGTCCATAGAGCACCGTCGGTGTCGTCGCGCCCATAAAAGAAGCGGGAGCTTGTTGCTCCCGCCTTCTGCTGCGTACATACGCATTCAAAGATGCCTAAAACTGCACCTCCTTTCACACACGTAAATGTGGCAACTGGTTGATGGGACCGAGCACCGCTAAACCGCTATTTTACATTAAAATAGTAAGAAGACCCCCCCCCCCCCCCCCCAACCGATAAGATTGAAAGCTCCACATATCAGTTTATGTTCTTCTTTTCGAGTCAGTTTAAATATTAGATCTTCGACCGGCTTGGCATTTGCTGGAACATATTGACCACAAGATGGTTGCACGTACTGAACCAACAAAAATCCTTTAGTGGACAAAACGGATTACGTCGATGGTGTGTATGCCAGACTCGTTTATAAACATTGGATGACATTGGGCAAAGGGAAGGTTAGCAGCGAAGCGATGATATCGAAAAATTCACAAAATTGGTTCTTCATCAGGTTGTTATCAGATCATATGGCTTTGGATTTATCGACCTTTCAATCGGATCGCGTTCGCAACGTATCCATTTGTCTATTAATATAACGTTCCCTGTTCGGCCGAAATAGCTTCAACTCCTAGCGCGAAGACTGCCACCAAACTGAAAATAACCAATCCGTCCTCCCGTAAAGAAGAAATCATACGGGTTTCTATACTATGCTATTGCTTTAACATAATTAGAAAGCTGTTAGAGGAACGTGCCAATAAGGCAGGGGCGTAGAGTTAATCAGGCGAATGGTTTCCATTGAAATCTCGAACTGACAAACCAGAATCGTTTGAGGACACCTGTCGAAGTTTTGACGCGATGGAATCCGGCAACCTGCTTGCTTATAAAATTTATATATTCAAACGAGACTACGGGTATCACTTGTTTGCTATAAACTTGTGATCGTAATACTAAAATATTGAAATAATAAAATATATTATAAAAAAAATAATATTATAAAGATCTGTTGCGTACATTTCGTCGAACAAAAAGCTCCTGCTGTTCTTGACATTGTTCTGTTTCGTAGTGCGTCTTGTGTCCAGTTTCAAGAATTTTCTTACATGTTTTATGTCGCTTGGCGGTCCATTTAGGCTTATCTTCGCTGTCCTATGAGGCTTAAGTAGAAAGAAAACAACGTTGATGATTCACGTTTCACAATCGATTACAACAAAATAGGTTTGTCGCTAGCATCTGTGCAGCTATGACAAGGATTATGCATAATACATCTACCGACCATGAATTATGAACCCAGGTTGGGCTTAATCGTATGTTTTACAAATGGACTTTCTTGGTTGCGGTCAATGTAAGCAGCTTTGATACTTTATCAAGGGCACCCAGAACCTTCTTTCAATAGCAACCGTCTACGAAGGCCGACGGCTCCTGAATTAGGCTGTTACTGGACTGATAAGGCAGAGCCTTGCCACCAATGCGCAAGCCGTGCACTTATGAAGTCTGATGCTGGTGGATCTGTTAGTTAATAATGGGCAGGTATTTTTACGCAGCGCTCGCTGAGGGTCTCACGAGACAATTCGTCTATTGTCACTTGCATCGTTCACTGTGCGACTTTGAACGTTGCTGCCGGACTCCACTTAAGATTAATAACATTGTACGTGCGCCACAGCTATCCGCCCTATTTAGGACCGATCAGTGTACTGAACGGATAGGCCAAACATGACCCCAAAATCGTATTTCATCAACCTCATCAGAAAAAATAGAGCGCGTTTGTTGTGCCTTGATCTTTTGACTATGACCCCATCTAATATTGTATTTCCGTCTAAACTAAAACTGAACAGGGGTTTAAAATTTATTTTGAGCTTTTATTAGTTGCGTATATAACATTACTATGCCATCAAGAACGACATATCACTTGACCTACTAAGATGGTAACGTACATAACAGAGAATGCGGGAACGTGTGTGGGACAAGCGAAACCATATCAAAGAAAAAGAGGTGCACTTACCTGCTATTTTTTTCTATATCAGGAACAAGCTATTTGTCTCGTTTGTTTTGTGTATTGAATATCTGCCAGCTACCCTGGGATCAAGTGAGCGCCCGGGAACAATGTGCGTGTAACGTAATCGCGCGCTTGGTTCGTACACTTGGAATTTAGGTAAACCGTTCTAAATAATTTTGCCTTCAGGTGGAACAAGGTATACAAAGACTTCTAGTTGATTTTTCCATGAAAGTTAGCCGTGGCAGCGGCGGAAACAAGTGATTAAACGTATCGAATTATTAGATGTCTCCGCAGATTCCCTATAGTAGAGCAAACTTAATATTCAATTTCTCCTGCTGGGGTTGGAAGCGGCCGCCTATCCGCTGTTGCTGCAGGGAGCTTCGCACCCCGCCTTCTATCGCATCTGTTGCGTTCGCTCACAATAGCCCTTCGTCCAGTATCGGTTGGAGCCGATACAAACACATGTCGTCACGTTTAAGAAATCCAAAGGAAGTGAACGAGAGAACCTGCTGTCAAGCAGCCATTGAATCGTTCGAACAGTTGCAAAGATTAATGAAGAGCTCGTCTGGTCGAAGGCGTTAAGGCAGATGCAGCCATCGAGCAGCATAGATGAATATCGCTCTGAGCGCGAGGCCGATCCGACGGCATGAGAAGGGCAGCTCGCACGTTGCCTACGATAAGACTACTGCACGATAGTATCGTATGCTATAGCCACATATCTTTCATACGGCCATAAATCCATCAATAACTAATGTTCGCAGGACGATCTGCGGCGGGAACGGGAGAGTGATGACGAAACCATTTGTTTTTTTCTGTGCTCATTCCGTTCCGCAGACACACGTTCCAGCTTGCAAACAACAATAACCATTGTAAACTGGACACAATGGGTTCAGGCTGCTTGCACTTCTTACGAAGTCTAGACCTTCGTTGCATAGCCTACCATTCTCTGCTGTGGATCGCCGGGCGTATACCATGTGCTTGGTTATATTAATGTAAGCGTGCGACAATTCATCTGCGATAGATAGGTAGATATGGACTTACTTGGGCTGCATGTGGTTGGCCTCACTCACTCACTCACTGCAGGACCAACGAAACGGATACGAACTGCTAGAGATAGAAAACAATTACTTTCAAAACGTGATAACATCAGCATGCTATACCATATCACAGTCAGCATACACAGCATCGATTTCACATGTGTGAACTTGTTATGCTATTATATAAATATAAAATGTATATATTTTCGTCCGCACAATCCATCGGCCTAGATTGCTGTTGCACCATGAAACAAGCTTTCGAATCCCTTAATAGAATCGGGGGGCCTAAAAGGCTGCAGCGAACGGACACGGTTAGGCTTCCGTTATGGATCATGCTATTTGACTACGAGTGCGCAGCTATATACACCTGACACAAATAAGTGTATTGCATCAGGCTGGCTGAGGATATCTTTTAGGGTATATCGCAATGCGGATTCGGTAACCAGTGCCTTCGAAAAGCATTTCAGTCGTTTATCTGTGCGAGACAAAAGGGCTAAGCTTAAGATCCCGCAGCGATTGGCTAACTTAGGTTGAAATAAGTGGAAAGTTAATGTTACTTTTAAGAAAGAAAAGCACCACACAGCATTAATCTCTAGCTGACGTAATTATCGGCCATGCTCCAGGAGCCGAGATGGTTTAACTGACGGCCGGCCTTACGGTGAACAAAACGTAACACGATGCTACGCACCACTGTTTCTACCTGCTGCGCAGATTTATATGCATTTCGTATTTTGCCTCCTTTGTTATTACGTCTCTGCGTGCAGCTGGTAGGAGAGCACGAACATTTTTTATGATTACAGGTGGCCGTCGGCTTTTGGCCGTATTCGCTCAACGCACGATTGCCAACTGGCCAGCCAGCTTAAGCGAGCAGAAACAACAAAACGTCTTGCCGAAATATAGAGTAGGGTTAGTTGAGACGAAAACCCAAATAAACTAACAATATTTAGCTTTACAATGGCAGCTGTTACATCAAACTCGAAAGCGACAAGCACGCAAATGTATCGCAAAAATTTTTCGCCGAGCGAAAAGAAGTTCAGCCTTGCTAACGACGGCAAAAAAAAAATCAAATAAAAACTACTATAAGCTGCAAAAGACTTCATGTAATGAATAGCTGTTTTTATATATTGCATGCTGAAGTGTATCAACCGAAGAGGAAAATATATTTCCGTAGGTCGGAAGCTTTTCATTAAAAAAATACATTCGATAATACTTTTCCGTTTCAGGCCGATATAATGTTTATTTACATCAGTCACGGCAAGATGGATTGAAGTAAGTTCTATAGTATTGACTTCACGTTCCAATATTTCGCCCCTTAACTGTCCAGTCGAACTTCAAAAAGATAACATTTCCCTGTTAGAGTCCCGTGATGATCCCTACTACGGCTTGGGTTGGGAAAACCTGACGTGCTCTCAGCCGGGATTGGAAGCGGTCCCTTCGACTTTCCCGAGATCGCTCCCGCCCGTCTCTGCAAATGAACGGCATCACTGAGACCTAAACATCTGCAACTTTGAGTATTTGTTCATAATGTATATATAGTTCGCGCAGCATATGCATAGCTGCCCAAAAATCAAACGAGAATTAGGCACAAAAAAGAGCTAATAAGAATAAAATTATTACTTTTTAGCCGATCTACTTTATACCAGAAGTACAATAATGTTTGATATTAAGCAGGCCCGCCCTTAGACATAAAATAGCGGCTACCAACCATTGTTATGGGCGTATGCTAGGAGCTTAGTCATAATCGCGTCGAGCTGTTATACATCAAAAAAAAACAAAAAAAAAAAAAAGTTTTAGTCGTTTGATGGTATAAAATTCTAGTTCATCGAGTATTCTGCAGTTTGTCGACTTTGACAATAGGCAGCTACCCTGCTGACCAGCTCTTGACGGTGACACATTGCAATTATGCTTTTTCAAGATTTCTATCCTAGCCTTAACCTATGTGCCGAATTGATTTGGTAAACAGGTCGAAGAGTAAAACACCAGCGTTTGTTCTCAGGAAATCTTTAAATACTTACACAAATGAATCCTCTATTCTCGTTTTCGGATCGGACCTCAGTTCTTTTGGTGTAAAGATAATGCGTGCGCAGGATAGGTTTCTGTGAGCCGTCATATTCTTAAGCTACTGATAGCGGCGGCTACGTGCCCTTGTAATGATATCTGGGTCTATTCAACTTTCGTCGAAAAGCGAAACATTGTGGAATTGTTAGTACAACGCTTACGTACCTGGAAAGCAAGAATACTGCATAGATATTAACACATTCTGCTCTTCTAAGCTAGGTAATTAGTTACCAGATAAGCGTCCTTGAAACTAATTGGTAAAAAAAAAAAGTGGCAAGGCTAGGTGGTAACGCTATAAAATTAGGACAGAAGAATGTTGATGATCCAGAAGGAGCGGATACGGCCAGGCTGGTCCGAAACGCGTGAAAACGTTTGCATTGATACTCTTTACTCTTAGATTGAAAAGATATTATGTATCAAGCGTTGTTTTAGGCCCCCCCCAGCAACAATGAAATGTCCCAGTACTCGATTTAGAGCTTGGACTAGCACGTGTTATAAGATTAATGGGCAAATGAGAGTGTCGCTGCAGCATCACGGGCCTAAGCTACAGTACAGTTAAGTAACTTTATATATATGTAAAGGGCCACACGTCGGCAAAGTGGGCGTAGATAGCCACCTGACTAATACTTAACAGCGGTACCGGATGTGGCACCTACAACATGTTTTCTCGCCTTTCGCTCGTATCTATAGATGTGAGACGTCACACGCGGATCTCACCTACGCACTCGTTTGATTCTGTTCCTCTGTCTGGGTAGCGATGACCAGCTAAAACGCCCAATATAAAAAGTTCTTACTATTGCTACTGTGTTTCACACTACGCAACAATGTTCTACCCTTAAAATTCTACAAAGAACCTGATGTAGGCAAGCCATTGACCGTGCAACCCGTAAGCGGTATTAGACGACTCCAATCGTCAATTAACGGTCCAGTTCTAGTGGTAATCCCGAATAGTCTTACTGCATTATAGAACGAGTCCGTTTCGTTAGCCTCTACATGCACCTCAAAAAAAGTTTTTTCAACTGAAATATTTGCAGTACTTCTCTTGAGAAAGTCCGAGCTATGTTTTTCTTAGCGTGTCTACATCAATAATATAGGACTTAACAATAATAATAACAACTAATAAACAAACTAGCGTAGACCGAAGAAATAGCATGGTATATCTCCGTTTTTCAACCGATCCGCAAATGGGCCATAAACTTTAATGTTACGACGAAAAAGTAACGAAACAAAGCCCACATATAGAGGATATGTAGTGTTAAAAAGACCGTACAGGTTAATGAATCACAGGTACAAAGGAAAGTGAAAAGGGCAACTGGTAAGAAGCAAGCTTAGGATGTTCATAGCTATTTTATATATGGATATATATGGATAT